GCTCTCTCTAAGCGGTCAGCATATTGCCCCCAATAATCTGGGTCCTCATTTTAACAACTTTGGAAGGATGGAAGGCTGAGTCAATCTTGAGCTGGTGAGAATCGAACTGCTTAACTGGCAACCTGCAGTCAGCAGAAATAGCCTGTAGTACTGCATTCTAACCACTGCCTCACAAAGGCTTTTTAAAAATTGATTTTAGTAGACTTGTAATTTAGGAAAATATCTACGTAACATTGAAAATTAAAATTAAATTAAAAAGGCAAATATGACAGTACAATTTTGCATATAATTTTACATTTTAGAAAATGGAAGACACAGGTGTATTGCCTAAGCACTGTGGGACTGCCATCCATAATTGCAGAAGAGAGGGTCTTAAAATGTGCTTTAGAAAAGCCTATTAGTTTATAGGTAATTTAAATATAATCTCCCCAAACAGGTGGTAACTACACATTTAAATTTTCATCAGTGTGAGTTAGTTTGTCTTACAGGTAACCCTTGATTTATGCCACATTTGGGACCAGACACCCACTGTTTAAACAAGGACATTGTTAAGTGAATTGACGTTGATGATATGACAACCGTTTGCCATGGTTGTTAACTGAATTACTGCAGTTGTGGAATGAATCACATGGTCATTAAGTGAATCCAACGTCCCTCATTGGCTTTACTTGATGGAAGCTGGCTGGGAAGGTTGCAAATGGCAATCACATGACCCTGGGGTGCTGCAAATGTGGTAAACATGCCATTTGGCAAGCACCTGAATTTTTATCAAGTAGCTGTGGGATTCTGCAATGGTTGTAAGTGCAAGGACCAATTGTAAGTCATTTTTTTTCAGTGTCATTCAAATGGCCAGTAAACCAATGATTATAAGTCAAGGACTACCTGTAATTTTTGTTTACGTTCTATATGACTCAACAATCAGGTTAGGACGTTCTGGAGTGAGGTGCAAGAACCTCTTTTAAATCTATATCAGCCTTTATAGCTCCACTAACAATTTTCTAGGAGATACCCTGTAAAGTTCTGAAAATAACCTTTATAGATTAAAATCTTATATTTCACATTGTATTTATGAGGAAATTTTTCCTATGATGTTGAAACCTTGATGTCAAAATGCAACAAACCATGAAACAATATTGATATGATTCCTAGTAGTTTTTCCCTGGAGTAAGAAAAAAAAATCTTAAATAGATTTATCTGATGCTTAACTAAGTTGAAAAAAAAATGTTTAACACCCATCCTCCCTCTCTCCCAAAAAAAGAAAGGGCAATTCCAGCTCGATTTTTGCAATAAATAAATCTGGGCTTTTGATCAAGTTCAACATGCAGAACCCAAGAGTTAAACAAGAATATTATTTTTGTCTTCCCTAAATTAGTTTCTAACAAATAAATTGCTTTTCAGATGAATTTCACCTGTTTCATTATAAAACATGGAAAGGTATCTATTATATATATATATATATATATATATATATATATATATATATATATATGTATATATATATACATTAAAAAGTGCAGTTATTTTGCAAATAGTGATTCAATTGTTTTACCTGGTATAGACAATCTTTTGTAACATTTGAACATTTACACACACACACATATACACGAAACAGCTAATAGGGACATTTTGGGGGGAAATAGCATTTTTAAGTGTTTATAAGGAAATAACTTGATCTTACAACCACTGACAAAAATATTTTTCTCCTACAATTTAATAGATTCTTGTTGCCCAGACAGTGCAAGGTTATATTAAGTTGGGAAGTGAGGATTAAGAGTCAAACATTTTTAAGTTCATTTCTATTTCAGCTATGTACTAGTCTGATTTAGAAAGATTTCTCACTGATAAATGTATTTTTATGTGAACCAGAAGTATAAGTATTTGATTTCTTTGTCTAAATGTTATATCATTATATCACTGCTATGTTGGCCTTTTAAAATACAGATTTTCTTTGGAAGTATATTTTTAAGAATCTGCTTCAAAATTTTCTAGCCTTATACAGTAATTAAAAAATACATCAACTAAACAATGGATTGATCTCAACCCAAATGCATGTTGCATTTTGTTTTCAATATCTGAAAGGAATAATGTCAAATTAAGTATCTAATGATGCTCCAAAACATTGGATTATACATTTATCAATAAAGAAGATGGCTTTTTCAGCAAATTCTGAATGGATCTCCTCACATTATACACTGCTACTCCTTGGCTTTCACTACTATGCCTTTCATTAATCATTTTTTTTTTAAAATTTCATTTCATTTTTTTTTCAGTATTTAACAGAACAAGGTAAATATATATGTATATGTTACTGGAACTAAACCATTGGCAAACCTGTTTCTAAGCACCTTAGGTATGCAGCCTACCTCATGTTATAAGCTACTATTATATGGCTTTCTGAAAGTATATCAGAAGTTGCAGCAGAAACGCAGTAATTTGGCCAAGAGATGAAGTAATGGTCATGTCATTTCTAAGTGGAAAATTTCCTAAGAATCATTTTGTATATGTACATATACATGTGTGTTTTAATATGTGATCATATAATGTGTGTTTTAATAAGTGACCGTCATCATAAAAAAAGATATCAACCCTCCTAAATAAATGTGGGTATAAATAAATATATACAGGCAACTTAGATAATGCAAAGCTGAGGTTGCAGAATCAACTGAATCATTTCAAGACACGAAGGATATTACCAATTTTTACAGTAGTAAATGTCACTTCACAGCGAAGACCTTTTAACTTACAGTATAATTCACAGAGGACTCCCTTTTTGTGTGAGCCTCAGTTTCCCAGATTGTAAATTTGTGTAGATTGTGTATCCATCTAGCAGTCTCATATTCATTTATCACTATATAAAATGTATTTTTAAAAAAATGAAATAAATATTATTGAATAATAAAGTATTAAGATCCTTTCTAAAGGATCATTGATCCTCTGTCCTTCTCTCTTCAAAGGATTCTGAATCTAAATAGAAATACATTCACTGTTGTCTTGAGTATCAAGGAATAATTGCAAATTGCAGAGAAATTCTGAAAAAACATTCTAGGGAAACATACTTAATTCTTGGGTCCAAATGACTGTTGCTCTCTATAGGATATTACATCCTTCTTCAATAGGCTGGAGAAGAAAGTTGCCAAGAGATAGCTGATGTTTTTCAGTGATAATATTTACTTCCAAGGAACACCCAGATATCAGAAAACCATTTTCATCAAAATAATGAATATTACTGAGTTACTTAACTCAGTTCTCTTACCTTCATTATTTATTACAGAAATAATATTTTCTTGCTTTCCTAGTAGCTCCTAGGTACCAGTACAGTAAATATCTGATTGATTGCCATTTTGTCTATAGATTATTACATGAGCTATTTGATCCTAATGTCAAAGCTTTAAAATGTGGAGAAAAGGGCATCAATTGCCCTTCTCAGAAGATGCATTTGCTTCTGTTACCATAATTTAACTCAAATGAGAATAGATGGAAAAAAAAATCTGAGATGTGAATTAAGGTGACCAACCATCCTCCTTTAGGGAGGACAGTCCTCCTTTTCTAAGTTCTGTCCTCCCTCAAAAAGTGTCCTCCTTCATGTCCTCCTTTTCAATATTTGAAGACTAAACTGCAGGGCTTTTTTTTCCCCTCATAGAACGCTCAGAATGGCGTTCCGGCACCTTTTTTTGATGGTTTTTTTTTCAACTTTTGTATGAGCTGTGCTACTTCCCCTATTGGCTTTCGAAAGCCAATAGGAATTGCTGCTGAGCACGCCAAAACACCCGGCTGGCAAACTTTGCACATGCAAGTTGTCTGTATTATTGTTGCAATGAATAAAATGTTTCTTTTATTTACGATATTTTTTTCTTCAATTTATTTGTGTCCTTCTTTTTATTGTAAAAAAGTTGGTCAGCTTAGTGAATAAAAGCAACCATTGGCAAACTGTGTCTTGCTCATTGGGAAAGAAGAAGAGAACACTGACACCACATATAACCCCTTAAATATTAAATGTCTCTTTGAAAAGATAGATAATACAGGCCTGCTACTGCATGATATGTTTGGATAAACTAAAAAATAGTAGAATAAAAAATGTTTGAGTGCTACCAATCATTTCTGTGGTTGCTCTTACTCTTTGCAGTAAAATGGGGAATAAAAGTTTTCTTGCAACTGTACGAAAATTAGCAGTGAAATTAACCATGGGGAAAGAGATCAAAGAGAAAAATTGAGAAATGCTTAGAAAAAGCCCTCTGTTGATTGATCTGATTAATTTTGAAGTTAGTATGACAGATTGACAGAGGGCAGAGACACATCCCAGATCTCAAAATAATATTTCAATTTCTAGATCATATCTAATTTATAATTAGGTTTAACTTGCACTAATTAACTGATGAATAGTTGATGAACTAAATCAGCGCCATTTTAATCAGTGGTATTGTTTGTTTTAGTTTTCATCCATGTACTAATGAATGAATCTTAAAAATATTAAATATTTTAAGTTTATTAATTAAATTGCAACATAATTGACATGTATGCTGTTATCTCACAAAACGTTTACGTACAGTTTTTAGCAGCATGAAAAATTACTTCTATTAGCTCATTTATTTGGATTAGTAAATACAATATGGACAATAATTGTATAGTTATATAATATACAAAATATAATTAATGTAGACTATGTCTCCTCATATTTGGAGCACGAATAGTGTAGAATTTGATTTTAATTGGATATATACAGTATGATTCATGCATGCATGCACAACAACTATGATTGCTTTAATATTACAGTAGAGATTCATTGAATCCGCAGATATGCTGTGGATTTCTTGTTCTGTTTTGTGATAAATATCTGTTCAGCAATATTTGTTATAATCTTTCAGGATGAAAACCTGACAAAACAACATATTCTGTAACTGATGGTGAACAATCAGTCTTTGTTTGAACAGGAATGGTGAACATGTTTGTTTGTTTGGTACGATGCCTGTTTCTCTTTCACAGAGTTCATTCTTTCATTGTAGGAAGCCCCCTATGTTATGTGGAAAAAAAACAGAGAATTGTTTGAAGGGAATGAGAAGTATGAAGGTTACTGTGTAGACCTGGCATCAGAAATTGCAAAGCATATTGGCATCAAATATAAAATTGCTATTGTCCCTGATGGAAAATACGGAGCAAGGGATCCACAGACAAAAATCTGGAACGGGATGGTGGGAGAGCTTGTATATGGGGTAAGCATATTTTTGATGCAGGTTTTAGCTTAAAATTAACAACAGTGCAATTATAATATAGGATTATACATAGGCTGTTGCAGTCCATTTATGGCAATCATGAACCCTGAGATCATGCTTTTGCATTTTGACAACAAAACAAATGACTTTCTATGGTCTGTTAAATAAGAGAAAGGGTTTTAAGGGGGGGGTTAATATGAACATAAATAGCAGTTGAAACCCCCAAATTGTGTTTGAAAAAGGTTAAAATATGTTTATCCTCCCTTCCAGTGATATCGTCACATATTGGCAAACTGTTGCAAACTGTGGTTGCCTGGTAAAATGATTTGCAAATCTAACTCAGCAAAGGATGGTACACAACACTTAACATTTATTAAAATTAACATTCCATTGTAAATGTTCACAGTTTTTGATAAATTCTTCAAATGTGAAAGGAAAGGACATGAAAGGAAGGTAGAGTGCACACCACTGTTTCTCTTGCAAACTGTGCATGTATGTTCACGAAACGCTTGAGTTGAGGAGAAAATTGCATTTTGGGCTGGAAGAGACATTAAAACAATTTCCCTTTGATGGGTCATTTGTCAGAACATTTGAACTAGTAAACGTAAAAATTCCCATACAGTTCCCTCTTTTTGTTATTTAGAAAAGATGGAAATGTATTTTGACGATACAAGGGAATTATTGGAGTATGAAAGTATTCATCAAAAATGTGCATTGGCCCTTAATGTTACAGAAGGAGATTGATGAGTTTACTATCATGGCTGTGCTTACCCTGTCCCCAGCACTTTTGTATTGATGTTCAGTGGTAGTGGATTTTCATGTAAAAGCTATTTCTATCCCCTGTATTTCCAAGTTAGAGTTGGGAAGGACATGACAGAGGTCAAAACAGAAGCAGAAAAAGAGAAGGTTGATTTCATTTCCTCTTCATTTTGGAAAGGCATCTTTATCAGGGTGAAGGTTTGTTCTCCAAGGTTGTGGGTTGGTTTCTGAACATTTTGTTACCAGACTAGGTAACATCTTCAGCAGAGTTTAAAGGAATTATCTTTATCAATTAAAATTATTCTAAATGCTTCTAGAGAAACTGCAAAGAAAAACCCACCTTAAATCACATAGAGCTGATAAATAGACAGATTTATATGACATATTTTTTAAGTCTCCCTTTTAATCTCAACAGTGTGTGCAAGCTCTGGACTGTTGTAGATATTAACTTTATTATTCATTTTATTATCTCTTTCCCAAGCAGATGACAAAATTTTCTATCCATCAACTTAACTGAAGATAGGAATGGAAATACTGCAGTTTAACTGGCTGCAGTAGTTGTTTTTACACTTTTGAATTGACCGATGATTTTTTTTTAAAAAAAATCCCATCCTTTATAAAGCCCCAGAAGATTATTATATTTTAATTTCATCGAAATAAATTTTCAGTTTAGTTTTGCATGTACCAAAACCCAACACAGGTCCGCAGTATGTTACCTGGAGCAAAGTTGGTTGTTTTTTGTTTTTTTTTTTGCTCCTAGGCAAGATTGATAATTTTAAATTGATTCAAGTAGATTAAGTAAGCATCCTTGGAAAGAGGAAACTCTATTGAAGACAGTGATTGCTTAGTTGTAACAGTGAAGCTTGTGAAATTTAAAAAAAAAATTGCAACTACTTATGTTGATGGGAATATGATAAGTAAATTTAGAGAAGAAGAGAGGGTGTTAAGAGCTTTGTAGCTGTCTTTTTAATATGTTGCTCTGGTTAAAACTCCTTACTAGAACTAATTTAATTTGCAAGATTAGCTGTATTTTAATGCAGTTTTCATCATCTTTATCTATCGTACTTCTGAGATTTCAATAATTCCAGTGCAAGTTGCATTTCATTGTCAGATAATTTTAAAATTAAGCACAGCCTGCAGAAATAGCGTGTATCTGCTCTTTCTTTCTTTCTACATTTTAATGACCAAAATATTAGCTACATAATAGTACAATTTTTGGGAGATGATTTGGTAAAATTCTTTCTAGTAATGAAAGACATTAGCTTATATCTTGCAGATGTTCTGAAAAGCTTTAGGAGACAAATGCAGTTAAATATTCATCTTTCTGCAGAGGAATGTTCTCTGTTCAACAGATAATGAATAAATGGTCACTGCCCATTTCTGTCATAGGACAGACTCCGATGTAAAGTTCAAACAATTTCTGCAGCTTTGGGCTAAGCTTTCTTAGAGTAATATGTCAGAAGGTAGAAATACAGTGGATTATGTGATTATACTTATCATCTGCTCTGTTTCATATTAGACTTTTTTTAGATATAAACATGTAATAATAGATGTATACTATTACTTATTAACATTCCAAGATTCTTGTACACATGGAAGTTTAACTTGTATTTGCTCAATGTAACTATAGGAAAGCCTTTCAGAGCAGATTGCTATATGGAAATGCATTGGGCTACAAACTGAGCATAGCCAAGAATGTTTTATTAATGTTGGAATAAGCAGTGATAATATGCACAATATATCCATAGAGGAATGGAATATATTAAGTTCATGCTTGAGTCAACTTTGTTTTGTTTAAGATAAACACATTAGTAGAGCAAAGTTCTGCATTAAGGATGGGTGAAAGAAAAGTAAAAAAAAAATCCTAAATGTTTTTTTTTTTTTTTAAACGTGGCTTTAGATGCTGGCACTTGACCCTGGCTAAGCTTGGATGTGGGCTGTCCACCTCATCTGCCCAATTGGCTTTGAAAATTAATGTCACTAAAAATCATTTTACCTGGCAGAACTGATATTTTTATTGCATGCAAAATAGTTTCCAGATTTGAAGTTAGTTGATCAAATGAATAGGTATGACTAGAAAGCTAAGGGGGAGAACTGGATTTTAACTGCATTTTTGAGAACTCAGCAAAATCACTTCAAATTTTCCAAAACTTTTTTTAAAACTATGCTGGTAAAACTGAATTGATTTTTTTGAGTTGGGATGGAGGAGTGAGTCCTTTTTTAATCTGTATACATGCAGAAATTCCTGAGTTTACTGTCTGACATTTCAAATGCCCAATGGAACACAAGCAGAAAAGGCTACAGAAGACTACTTCTCAATAGAGCAGTGGTTCTCAACCTTTTTAATGCCACGACCCCCAAGCGGTCATAAGTCGAGGACTACTCAACCGGTCGGAGGTCAAGGACTACTCAACTGGTGCAGCACCGTTTGCAGAATGGGACTTTTGGCAGGCTCAGCAGGGCAGAGACAGCCTGGACAATTCCTACTGACTTTTGAAAGCCAATAGAATTAGACTCTATTCAAGAGAGTCTATTCTATTGGCTTTCAAAAGCCAATAGAATAAAAGGGAATAGCACAGCTAAGGAAAAGGGGACTGCGTTGTTTGGCAACCCCTGTGAAATGGTCATTCGACCCCAAATGGGGTCCCGACCCACAGGTTGAGAACCACTGCAATAGAGGCAGCAGAAAAGGCTACAGAAGACTACTTCTCAATAGAGGCAGAAAACATAGGATCTCATGGGATTCAGATAGCATGCCTCACTTAGAAATACAAGGAATTCAACTTATAATTGTTTGCCATAATTCATGCGCTCTTCTCATAATGTTAAACTACTATGTCTAAAAAGAAACTTCATGAAATCATACATTACATAGGAGAAAGACTATAGATAAGTGATGGCAAACCTTTTAGAGACCGAGTGCCCAAAAACCGGCCCTGCCCCCGCTCCATCCCCCATCCTATCCGCCCCACCCACGCTCTGCCCCATCCAACCTGCTCCTCCCAGTCCCACCCACCCTGCCCCCGGCCTGCCCCGCCCCCCCGCCCACAGGGACACTCACTACCTCCATGGCCCACCACAGATTGCCCAAGCAGCCCAGCAGCCCCATGATGGCTATGCCCTCCACTCGCACCCCGTAGCATCAACTGTGCACTGTGAGGCTACTGATGAAAAGGGGCCATGGGGGAGGCGGGGCTGGAGCAATGGCATGTATGCCCACAGAGAGGGCTCTGAGTGCCATCTCTGGCACGTGTGCCATAGGTTCACCACCACTGCTATATATCTTTGAAGAGCATATGTCTTCAGAAAGGTCTGGTAGCTTCCTTGATTCTTCTCTTTAAAAATGTGTTTGGACATCTAGGCTGAGCAAAATAAATCCTTTACCAGGAATCATGGAGATCCACTGCAAATTGGTTTTACTGGTCTATATAAATCAAGTATCTGACTTTGCTTTCCACTGTCTTCTTGTTGATTTTTCTATGTAGAGGGTTTCCTACATTGAAGAAGGATGGTTTTACTTAATATAATATTGCATAATGTATAATTCAGGATACAAGGCTGTGTGGATTTACATTACACATGCCCCTATCTTTAAGTAGAGTAAAATCATACACACCTCTCAATTAACTGCAAATGAGGGCTTATCTTTGCCTAGAATTCTTCCTGATGTAATACAATTTTCTCCTTCCAAATGTCCATTCTTTAATTCCATTACAATGTCTCCAGCACCATATTTTTGCCATTAGCCTCTAGGTTAGCCATTCATTTTAGATGGAGGAAAACCTGTATCATCCACTTGTTGCAAAGTATAATGTTTTATTGTTTCCCTAATCTATATTTGTTTGGGTTCTCTCTCTCTTTTTTTTACAGAAAGCAGAAATTGCAGTTGCACCTCTGACCATCACTCTGGTGCGTGAGGAGGTTATCGATTTTTCTAAGCCCTTTATGAGTCTTGGCATATCCATTATGATCAAAAAGCCTCAGAAATCTAAACCAGGAGTCTTTTCATTCCTGGACCCCTTGGCCTATGAAATTTGGATGTGCATAGTCTTTGCCTACATTGGGGTCAGTGTTGTCCTATTCCTGGTGAGCAGGTTTAGTCCATATGAATGGCATACAGAAGAGCCAGAGGATGGTAGAGAAGGACCCAGTGATCAACCTCCGAATGAATTTGGCATCTTCAACAGTCTTTGGTTTTCCCTGGGTGCCTTTATGCAGCAAGGATGTGATATTTCACCCAGGTTGGTATAATGCTAAAATTGCTTCTAAATTTGCATTTTATCCCTAAGGATATAGTAAGGATAAGGATAGTCATAATATAAACCCATATATAAGCACAGGCATTTTTTTTTATGATAACATCCTTAGTTTATTATCTCTCTTGTTTATAAAGTTGTAATCTTCTTACTTTCCAATTTGATGTATCAAGCTATTATTGCCTTTCCATAGATTACTAATTCTTGGATCTTCTTTTTAATTTCTTTGTAAAATTCATAGCTTAGAGTAAGGATAAACAGTTCACAATTTGAGGACTATAACTGTTGCAAAAGATGTTTGAAAAAAAAATTGTAAGAAAATTTAAAAAAAGAAAGAAAAAAACAAATATTCCTGTAAGGACCCACCTCAGCTAACCACCCAAGAAAGCAGAACTCTTGAAACAAGCATTGTCTCAAAAGGAAACTTTTATTAGGGGTCAGTGACAGTAGGGAAGTCAAGGCGAGATCTGGGGAAAATCCTGCTCAAACGGTATGGTTAAACTAGCAATATTCCTCCTCCCACCAAAGTCATAATGTCTGTCTGAAATCCAGCCAATCTACAGGTGGCACGATGTATGGATAACTGGCACAGTTGGCGTGCATCTCATTGTCTTCTCCAGTTTCATTTCTCTGTAACCGTCTCCCTGATAAGGGAAACATATTCCTTTCTCAAGTGGATAGAGGCGGGAGAAGAAAAGCAGAAAGTGAAAGTTATCCCAAGCAAAAGAAAATATCCCCCCTCCCCCCAGCAGAATGGCAGGCCCCAAAACAAAAGCACAAGAATATATATGCAAGGAAGACAGTAAGGAGTTGGGGACCTGACAATTCCACTTTGTAATATTGCATTTCTATTTTAGATTTTTTTTAAAAAAAATGCAATATATTATGTAAATTATGCTTTGTCTCAGTTTAGGGGCCTCATAACAAAGAACCCTTTTTTCACTAGATCACATGATATTTAATGATTTCTCAAAGCATATGGTAATTTGTGTATTCTGGAGATAACTGATATAGACCCCTTATGTTGGTGATAAAGGTAGAGGTTTCTGTATTATTTGAAGGCAATTTGGAAATCTATTCACAGTTTACTCAAATTGTGTTTTAGTTCTATTGTATAATTTCTCTTTCTGCATTTTGAATTAAAGTATTCATGCAAGCAATGCACTGGATACAACATAAATTGCTGAATTAATATATTTTATTTATTTGTTTATGTATTTGAATCCCCCTTTTATTACTTTTATAAATAAGGTGGTGAACACATCTAATACAGCTTCCTCCTATTTTCCCCACAACACCACCCCTGTAAGAAGGGTTCAGCTGAGAGAAAGTTACCATCCCACATACATAAATTTCTTGAAAATCTTTTTGTGTGGTTTAATTAAAGATGGAAGTAGATTTAGCTCCCATCAGAAACTAAGTTAAGTGTTTAAGTTAATGTTAATTTAATTGAAGTCCTTCTGAAATTAGTGAACCATTGGGTTAGACAGAACTTAGTTTCCTTGATTATACAGCAGTTTCTACGTTTGTTCAAATAACCAATACAACATCCAGATGTAAAAAAGATGTTGAGACTCTAGAAAGAGTACAGAGAAGAGCAACAAAGATGATTAGGGGACTGGAGGCTAAAACATATAAGGAACAGTTGCTAGAATTGGGTATGTCTAGTTTAACAAAGAGAAGGACAAGGGGGGACATGATAGCAGTATTACAATATCCCAGGGGCTGCCATAAAGAAGAGGGAATTAAGCTATTTTCCAAAGCACCTGAAGGCAGGACAAGAAGCAATGGGTGGAAACTAATCAAGGAGAGAAGTAACCTAGAACTAAGGAGAAACTTCCTGACAGTGAGAACAATTAATCAGTGAAACAGCCTGCCTCCAGAAGCAGTAAATGCTCCAACACTGGAAGTTTTTAAGAAGAGACTGGACAGCCATTTGTCCTAAGTGGTATAGGGTTTCCTGCCTGAGCAGGGGGTTGGACTAGATGACCTCCAAAGTCCCTTCCAACTTTATTACTATTACTATTACCACATTCTGTAGTGTAGGATTATTCTACATAATGCCAAATAGGTCAGAATCCAAATGATTTTGTTATTTTTGGGCAAAATCTGTGCTCACACAGAGTAACTAAGATAATGGGCAATCACAAGTAATTTTCAATGAACCAGGATTGTTTTTTTAATTAATCTTTAGAAACTTGCCAACAGAGCCAAATAGATATTTTGCTTCGTTTCATCTCCTCTGTTTGGATCTATATCAAATATAAACAAAATACACAGAACTACAAAAATTAATTTTGGAAACCATTACTATGATATTAAAATCAATGGAAGGACAATTGAAAGATTTAATGAATTCTCCCATCAAAAACTAATCACCTGTGCACTTCCTTTCCATTACTGTATACACATGAACTCAATGGTATGACAATATGGTGCCTCATAACAACTCAGAATCATTGAAGGGACCATTTTGAAGGGAAATAGAGCCTTTACTCAAATAGAACAGGAAAGATGGAACAGAACCTCTTGCTGTGACAATCAGACTAATATTCTCTATTATGGACATTTTCATCATCCGCATGCATGGCCAAGTATTACCCTGGTTATCTTGGCAATGGGTTAATTTATTTTTCCTGAAAGACATTTTTATAATTTTCAGCCACTCCTTAATATCCCTCTCACTAAGAGAAAGAGATATGAAAAAGTTCAAAGTGAAAGGATGATTTATATTTTATAGATAACTATTTTAATAATTCCTAATCCTTTGAATTCATCTTCCTCTGTCTTATTCATATTCTCTTCTCCCTTAGCTGATTTCTCTCATATATTTGAAATACTCTTGAAGTTTTGTATATTGTCCATCTTGAGACTAACCTTGCAGGAACACATAGACCAGATTTCATCCAGTAGCTGGTCTGTGTTGTCAAAGTTTAAATTACAAATTCAATCCAGAATAGTGCCTTGTTGGGGAGAGGAGGGTGGATGCAAGGCTTAAGATTTTGTGCTAGTCAACATTATTTTTTGTAAAGAGGCAAGTCTATAAGGAATCATTTTGTTATCAGTCTGTTCATACCTGTACATGGATAAATGATAGACAAGTCCTGCTGTAAAAAGGCTTGACAATTCCCATCATCTATAGCCAGCATTTCATGAGACCTTGTTCACGGTTTCTCATGCCTTAGTCCAGGGGTGGGCAACCTTGGCTCTTTTATGACTTGTGGACTTCTGCTCAGGAATTCTGGGACTTGAAGTCCATGAGTCATAAAAGAATCAAGGTTGCCTACCCCTGCCTTAGTCACTTCCAAGGCATGAGTGACTGTGTTTTGGATTACTGCAAAACACTCTACACGGGGCTGCCCTTGAAAACCACCTAGAAGTGAACCAATGCATGCAGTGTTAGCACCCCCAGGTTTGTACATATTTCACCCCCGTTGCATGAGTTAAACCTCTGGGTACAATGGTTATTACCATTAAAGCCCTACATGGTGCAGGAACAGGCTATTCACCTCTCCCTGAGGTTATCTGTCCATCCAACTAGATCAGATAGGGTGGACCTGCTCCAAGTCCCTTCAAAGACCTCCTCCAAAGTCCCTCCAAGTCCCTTCAAAGTGAAAAGGTGATTTATATCTTATAGATACTATTTTAATAATTCCTAATCTTTTGAATTCATCTTCCTCTGTCTTATTCATATTCTCTTCTCCCTTAGCTGATTTCTCTCATATATTTGAAATACTCTTGAAGTTTTGTATATTATCATGTAGTGGGTCTAGGAAAAACATTAAACATAATCAAGAAAATACCTAGACCCGCTGAAGCCAAACCTTTGAGGTCTCATTTTTACCATATATCCAGTTTTTCTCTGGGTAAGCAAATCTTGGTACAGTATGAGAAATAATAGTGAGAAACTGTTTTAGTAAAGCCCTTTTTTGCTGTTATTAATGTTCTAATTGATAAATACCCAAGGTGATTTCTCAGTACTTAGCTTGGAAATCATTTCATTAGATATTGCAGCAAGCAGCTCTTCCTTGTAGGAGATATAATTAAACGTTTATTCAGAGTATATTAGATTTTTCTTCATTCACCATACGGCATGCTGGAGTGTGAATCAGATAATAAAGAGAAATTGTATTAAACAGAACAATGAACTTATTATGTGACACTCACAATAATTCTTGTTTGGTGAATACATTTGGTGAATACATTTCCTGTAATCATTTGTTTTGCTGCACCTTCTAGGAAAATACACATATCTTATTCATATTTAGGTCCCTCTCAGGTCGCATAGTTGGAGGTGTGTGGTGGTTCTTCACGCTGATCATAATTTCATCATATACCGCTAACCTTGCTGCTTTCTTGACTGTTGAGCGAATGGTCTCACCCATAGAAAGTGCAGAAGACCTCGCAAAACAAACAGAAATTGCTTACGGGACTCTGGACTCTGGTTCAACAAAAGAATTCTTCAGAGTAAGTTGGTATGCTTCCTGAAATTCAGTTTCTCCGTCCAGTATGCTGCTGGTACTATGTTCCATTACACCTAATCCGTTTTGCTTCTGTGGCAAATATAATATTAAAGTTATTCCATTGCTGTTGTTTGTTTAAAAATCAAAAACAAGAACTGCTCTATTGGGATAAATGCTTTAAGAATCAGAGGAATCAGAGGTAATTCATTCTTTCCTGTTTGATGGCAAACCAGACATCTCAGATACAAGGAACTTTGATATACTTTTTGTAGTTATAAGGTGTATTTCAGGTTAGTTTTTGTTTTATTCTGTTGCAGTCTTTAATGAGAAACTATGCAGTTTTGCGATGTGCAGATACTGGATAAGACAAAGTAGCTACATTGAAAATACATAGGATATGTTTCCAGCAGTTTGATCAATCACATTACTTTTGTAAAGGTTTCATTTGTATTGTTTTCATTTTGTTTGCTATGTTATAAGATACAAAAATATCTTCCAGCAGCTTGGAAGCAAGAAATGTTAAGTACTTCTAGGTCCCAATGATATAAGCATGCATTAACATCCTTTCAAATATGATCTAAACATATTTTTCTATAGCTGTATTCACTCGTTGACATTAAATGGGGACTCTAGAAATGCTGGAGACAGACAAACAAAAGATTAATCAATTGCTGCAGTCTTTAAACACAAGTGAAGTATTTCTATAGCACTATGCTGTAAATCTCACTGCTATCAATGAGACATAGAACTTTATAAACAGTGGTGTCTGTTGTCACTTGTATTCTTGGCTGTCTTTCCAAAATATGAATTGATTACGGTTCACTGAAATTGTTAGAGATATGCTAAGCAAAATGTTGGATTCAGAATTAGTCATATTTAAATTAGAACTATTAAAAATAAATATTTCAGGTAAGAATAAGGAAAGTGGGACATTTCCCATTGCACACATACTGAAACTAATGAGGGAAATCCCATTGCACGCCAGAACTTGCATCTAATGTTTGCACCCAAGGCCATACACTTAGGCAGGCCCTATATATAAGATACAGACAAATGTCTGTTGAAGATTTAATGTGTTTGTCATTGAAAAAGGTAACTACAATGAAATTATACTTCCTGGGGTATTAAGGTCTCTTAACAGCAATAAAATTAAATGGGTCATTAAAAAAAAAAGCTTCTAGGCAGATTATGCCAACTTGTCTCATTTTTGTAAACTGTATCCCTCTTTTACTTGAACAATTTCAGTATAGCCACACAGAGCTGCATTTTGTGAGATGGGCTCCTATATAAATGTGATAAATAAATAATTTATCAATCAATCAATAATAATTTCATTGTTGGTTTTTTAATTTAATATATTGTAGTAACAGATAGTGTAATATGGTAGCTATTTCAAAAGAAAGGGGTAGAATCCATCGTAATAACAGATTAATTACAGGTATGTGGTTATTTTATAACAGTTATTTCAATATTTTTGTGGATGCTCTCATATATTCATGCAATGGCCTTTTTAGGCAGAAAGCTTAAATACAATTATATCTAGTGCATTCAATTGTCTTTATTAAAAATATTTTATTTATGGGGATCCCAATGTTACTTTTTCTTCCATTCATTGTAGAAATGAGAGCTAGATCTAGAAATGTCATAAGTAGACCTTTTTAATAACTTACTCTGAAGCTAGTCCATCAAACAAATATTTTAAGCATACAGCTGGACAGTTCATATATGAATTTCAACTATAAGTTGCTTGCTTTAAGTATAAAAGCAGGTCTGATCACATTGAAAACAATATAATAATAACAGGCTTTGGATATACTGGTCCCAAGCAATTAATCCAAGAACTTCCTCCTAAATGTGTGCAAATAATAAAGAAATAGGAACAATCTTGCACTAGATAGTTTTAGGTTCTGTAGAGCCTGTTCCACTGTTTTAAAAAAATTCATCTGTAAAAATAGTAATTCACTCTATTCTAAGCCAAAGATTGAACAAAATGTTTTATTTTGTGTTGAATCGTTAGTTCTAGAACAGTGGTGGCGAACCTATGGCACACGTGCCAGAGGTGGCACTCAGAGCCCTCTCTGTGGGCACACGTGCCATGCCCCAGAAATGGCAACCGTCCCTTTTCAACCAGGTGCCCATTAACTCGCCAAGGTCCCACATGGCCGGATGCATCCCAGCACCCATGCGCTCACTGGCCTCTGTGTGCGGAGGCCGATGGTGTCAGGCAGCAGCCGCCCCAGCCCCTGCCTCACCTTGCCCTGCAACAATGGCACCCCCGCCCTGCCTCGCCTTGCCTCACCTGCAGGACAAGCCTTCTTCCCACCGCCCCACCTGCCAGAGACCCCCTGGATCTCCCTCAACCCTGCCCCCACATGCGTCCCTCCTCATGAGCAACATTGAGGTGATCACGCCCATCTTGGCCACACCCACCCAGTCTGCCATGACCACCACAGTCATGCCCACCCAGTGGACCACACCCACCTGGCACCCGGTGACAAATAAGTGGGTTTTGAGTTGCAGTTTGAGCACTCAGTCTCTAAAAGGTTCGCCATCACTGTTCTAGAAAGTAGACCTAGTACTCAATAGATTTTTCTGTTATTAATTTGTACACCTCGTTACTTTCTATGCACTCATATAATTTTTTTCTCTTTGTTCTGGATTATATTTTTAAATGACTTCAAGAACTGGGCATAAAATACATAAATCTGTTAGCTGTATGCCTGTCAAAACTGCAGTCTCCTTTCAATGAAAGCATCCCATTCTATCAATAGAGACCTATTTCCTATTGTGGAGCCACAAAATGACTCTTGATATATTTGAGGTTGCAACCAGGTTTTGCAGGGCTCTTGTTCCTTTTTTGCATCTAACTTCCTTTTAATTTCCTTCAGAGATCTAAAATAGCAGTATATGAAAAGATGTGGGCATACATGAGCACAACAGACCCATCCGTCTTCGCTAGGACCACAGCGGAGGGCGTTGCCCGTGTGCGCAAGTCCAAGGGCAAGTTTGCCTTCCTCCTGGAATCCACCATGAATGAATACATTGAGCAGCGAAAGCCATGTGACACCATGAAAGTGGGAGGAAACCTGGACTCGAAAGGCTACGGAGTAGCCACACCAAAGGGTTCTTCATTAAGGTGGGTGGAATAATATAACAATATAAAATGTGTTGTTATAGTATTCCACCTTCCCTGATGTCCCCGATCTAGTTCTTTTTGTGTTGTTCTGTGGACATGGTATGTTTTTTTTTCTTTTTTCCATTTCATATTTTCGATCGTCCAGGAGGTAACAGTTGCTCCTAGCAAAATCCATTAAACAGTGACAATCAGTGTTTATCAACCAAGGCCATGTAAAAACCATACTGTCTGAACACTGCTTCTGAGTCTTTTTAAAAACAAAAGTTCAAGACCTGATGTTTACGCACAATGGCTTTTTAAAACCGAAACTGCCAAATTCCATTAAAAAGGGGAAGTTATCACATGAGAACTACTTGTGGAATTATGGACTTATGAAAATGGTCTGAAAAGTATTTGAAACTCTTAATATTGCAGTACATGGGTATGGGTAGTTATGAAGTCCTGGTAGTTCTCAATTTACAACCCCAATTGAGCCCAAAATTCCTATTGCTATGAAGACAGTTGTTAAGTGAGTTTTGCCTCATTTTACCATAGTTGATAAGTGAATCACAGCAGTTGTTAAGTTAGTAACACAGCTGCTAAGTGACATTGACTTTGCTTGTCAGAAGGTAGCATTTATCTTTTTATTACAGTGTACCTTGCTACTCATCGTTAATTGGTTCTAGGAGGCAAGATGAGTACCAAAAACAATGAGAACCAGACAATTTTTTTCCCATAAGGAATAATGTGGTGAGTCACAAGGCAGCTGACACCGATAAGTTCTAGCTGGTGCATTGAGTACCAAATGAACGATGAGTACCAGGACAGAATTTTCAAAATGCATTGGGTACCAAATGGGATGAGTTTCATAGTAGCTGAGGACCAAAGGTACCACTATACTTAGTTCCTATTGTGTATAACAGAGGTCCCCAATCCCCAGTCCGTGGACCAGTACTGGGCCCTGGCATGCCAGCAACTGGTCTGCATAAACAAGCAAAGCCCATCCACAGGATGCAGGCAACACACAAAACCATGCCTCCTCCGATCTGCAGAAAAACCATGGAACCGGTCCCTGGTGCCCAGAAAGTTGGGGACCTCTGGTGTATAGGTTTTGTAAAAATTTATCTTTTTGATATTGTAAACCACCCAGAGTTACCTTGGGGTAAGATAGGCAGTCAAATAAACAAACAAATAAACAAACAAATAAATAAATAAATAGTGATCACGTGGCCCTGGGACACTGCAATCGTTATAAATACATGCCAATTGCCAAAAGCCAGAATTTTGAACACGTGATCATAGGGATGCTGTAACAGCCATAAGTCACATTTTTCAGTGCTGTTGTAACTTTGAACAGTCACTAAACAAATGGTTGTAAGTCATTCAAACAAAAGAAAGCTTTTCCAAATGAGAATATTAAATATATTGAAGTGGAATCTCTATTTCAGTTTATTCTAAAGTAGTTCTCAATCTCTTTAGTGTAATTTATTCTCATACGATTGAGCACATGCAGTTGAGGTGGAGAATAAGTTCCACTGGAAAGAAAAGGAGGCTAACTTAGAACAAAACATGATTCAGATGATGCTGAGCCTATTAGTTTTCATATGCAAGCGGGTTAGGTTTGCAAATAAAAACAATCATTTTTTCTTTGAAAATGAAATAACCTACAAAGCGTTCTGAATAATGACAACAGAAAAAGCTTTGGACAGTTTCAGGTTACAAGAAAAATGTAGTATTTCTCTTCCCAGTCCCTCAGTTTCATTTATGCAAAGCAAGAAAAACATGACACAATAAAATAGTTCACACCACGCAATTTTCATCCCTGCAGGATTCGAAGATAACTGTTGAAAGCAGGTATATGATATAATCCCACTACATTACTTATTGTTTATGGAAAGTGGCAGATAAATTCAAATAGAAATTAAAATGTACATAAAGAAATATTTAAAAATAAACTGTTCATGAGGACAGGCTTCTAACCGAACCAAAGGCCCAGCCAGAGACAAGTTCCTTATTGAATCTAGAAACCATACTTTGGGGCTGTAGTGGCAATGGAAGCATTCTTTTCCCTCTTCAGCCCTGGGTTGTCTTCCTTCTCTCAGACTTGGCTCTTCTCCTAGAAAACAAATCAGATTGCAGCTGGATCCTGGAAGAGCCCATTTTCTCAATGGCTTCTGCAAAACTAATAGCCTTTGAAGAAACCATATTTCTCAAGCCTATGTGATTGCTGTTGTGCTGTAAAACATTGGGCCTGGAAGTGTGGATGAAGTGGAGGGGGGGAAAGGTCCCTGGCCTTGTTTCTGCAAAATTACTACTATTCAAGAGTAGAGGGAGAAATGTCCTGCTCTTTATTTTTCTCCTCCTTGCATACAATGATTAACGACATATTGGCATTCGGTGATATGAAAGAAAGATATGAGTGGGTTCATGAAATTGGAAGGAGAGAAAGAAGATAGATACAGAGAGAGAGAGAGAGAGAGAGATCCTTGAGAATTTACTGGATGGTAGTGGGCTATTCTCAAATTTGGGTTGGCCTGGAAATATGCTTAAACTGCTGCTCTCCCCACCCCCATCCCTCAGAAGTAGCTTTGTTTTATTTCCAAGCTGTTTTGACTGAAACTGAAAAGCTCTCTGATCATTACTGAAATCATGTATCTCTTGTGGTCGGTACAAGATATGTCTGCCAAATTCCTTTTTGCATCTTTGAACATATGGATTGGAGCCTTGTTCAAGGGAATGTTGTCTAAATTAACCCGTTCCAAATATATTTCACTGTGGATGATATTTTAGATGGAAATTATCAGAGTGAGATGCTGGATGCTGTAGTCAAACATAACTGGAGGACCCAGTCAGGGAATGTTGAGCTATCTTAATAGTCCAAGCTGTTGCAAAGATTTGTGGATGTTGCTTATGAAGTGCTAATATTCATTTTAGACGGAGACCCCCAAAAGCACCCGACTTCTTGGTTACCTGTTTTGTCTATATAAAACTGTATTTGCAAAAGCAGAAGTTTTACACTAGGTTTGATCATAATATCCTTTTACCTTTCTTCAGTTCTATCAGCACATTCAAAGACACAATTGCTCCTTTTTTTTCCTTTTCCTTTTTCAATTTTAGAATATTTTTGTTTCTATGGTAATGAAATCATGAATTGCAGGCCAAACTTTTTCAGCCACTCTATTGGTCCAGCTAGTGATGTCCAATTTTTAGATTGTTTGAAAAAGGTATTTGCTAAAACATTGATTTGGAGGGGGGGGGGGCAGACTGCTTATTAAAACAAAATAGAGTCTTCTATTTCCCCTCCAATTTTATAATGGCAATTTCCTAAAACTATTACATTATCTTTGTGTATATGTGTGTGTGTGTGCATGTTATGTCAAGAAGGAGTTGACAAGCTGATTGATTAGCTTGCTTTTGACTTGAATTGTGATGTTTCTGTCATTTGGAGGGTTGCAGTTGGTATGTTTTTCCTAATAACGATGGGTTTTCTGTTTTTTCTAAGATTTCTTGGCCACACTAGAAGGTTTGATGTTCCCCTATTCTGATGTGATTCATTTCCATCATTTTAGTTCACTGATTCTCAGAATGTCAGTTTTCAGTTTTGACATTTCTGCTCTGATATCAAGTTTATTTTGATTTATGGGGCAATGGGATTTAAGGGAGCTCCTCCTGAATTGGGCTATCCATGTCATCTGTAACATTTGTCCCATTCATAGTGAAATAGACCAGTACGGGTCCCTGGCATACCATTGTAGAAACCCAACAATAGCTCTAGGAGCTGGGCATGGTGGCAGCTTCAATACCCTTGTTTTCCAGGGCCAAGCATGTGCACAAAGCTGTCCAAAATTGCCCCCTTATTAGCATTCTGGGGCCAGTTCTAGGACAATACATTTGGGATATGGGCATCACCCTCAAATATCAAATAGAAGAATGCAATTGGATAAGGCATTTAAGATGGGAACATCTTAGGAGCCATCAAATCACCTACCATCAAATGTGAACAGATCTCATAAAAGCAGACATTGCCATCTATGAGAACAGAAAAGAGCAACAAAGATGTTTAGGGAACTGGAAGCTAAAACATATAAGGAACGGTTGCTGGAATTGGATATGTCTACTTTAGTGAGGAGAAGGACTAGGGTTGATGTGATAGCAGTGTTCCAATATCTCAGTGGTTGCCACAAAGAACAGGGAGTGAGGCTATTCTCCAAAGCACCTGAAGGCAGGACAAGAAGCAATGGATCAAGGAAAGAAGCAACCTAGAACTAAGAAGAAATTTCCTGACAGTTAGAACAATTGATCAGTGGAACAACCTGCTTCCAGAAGTTGTGAATGCTCCAACATTGGAAGTTTTGTCTGAAATGTTATAGGATTTCCTTTCTGAGCAGGCGGTTGTTAGTACAAGACCTCCAAGGTTGCTTCCAACACTAATTGTTATTATTATTATTATTGAGGATCATCGGACAGTCAGCCAGATGTTCAAACTGGATTTGGCATTTTGTCTACCTATTGAGTCCTTACCAAGGACCTGGGATAGGCAGATGTGGATGTTTGATGATATTACAGATATCGTCGCAGGATGGAAGCAGTTCCTAGTAAGGCTGCCTTTTGCAATTGACTAATGGTGAATTTGTCAATGCCAATGGTGTTCAAGTGGTGCTCCAGTTGTTTTGGGATTGCACCCAAGGCGCCTATTACTATTGGTACTACCGTTGTTTGCTTTTGCCAGTCTTTCTATTTCTATTTGTAGGTCTTTGTATTTTGTTATCTTCTCCAGTTCTTTCTTGTCTATTCTGCTGTCTCCAGGCACTGCCACATCCACTTTATTATTATTATTACTACTACTACTACTACTATTACTGCTACTACTTCAATGAGCAACCCAACACTGTCTTCTTGAAACTGTCTAAGGTGCTGTCTAAAACAGGATCAGCAGTGGAAGGCAAACAAAAAGAAGAAAACTGATTGTGTTGTCTGTCCCTTTTGCCAAGCCTCTAACAAGTAAGTCTTCCACCACCACC